AAATTATACTGAACGTATTAAAATACTCACATATGAGACGTGAGGACTCCGATTCAGTTTGGATCCAGCCTCAGCCAATCAATCAATCATCCAGTTACTTCAGGAATCAGCGCAGACACATGATCAACATAACAATTTCCCACATTATGTGAACTCGACAGACGCTTCCAACCCTCCCCGACCGCCGACTGTCTCTGCGTGCAGCCCCTGAGGCTGCGTGCGCATCTATGTCTGCAGCCACGGGTGCTGCAGGCACTCCGCCGCCGTCGCCCTCCGCTCAGGCTGCAGCTCCAACATGGTCAGCAGGAAGTCACTGAACTGAGCCGCCTGGTCCAGTGGCCACTCGTACTTCTCCAGCAGAACCTCGAACAGACCCCACGGCTTCAGGTTGGAGATGTGACGCAGGTCGCCTGAGACAGGAAGAGGAAGAGTGAGGCATCTGGTTTTAAAAAACAACCAGGTTCACTGAATAAGGAGGACAGAAAAACTCCCAAGCTTTACCATCTGCAGCAACAAGAGTTCCAACTTTCCCCCCCTTTCTCTACAGTTTAGGATCACTGAAGGTAAACTGTCTCACCTCTCCTGCTGAAGTACTCTCTGGAGTACCTGCCAGACAAAGCGAAGGGCAAAGGAATCGGCCCGAGCAGCTCGATGATGTGAGCGATGTGATCTGAACACACAGTGAAAAGTCACACTGAGGTAGTGTAAACACAGTCAGTCTAACACTACAGTACTGTGTGTGTGTGTGTGTGTGTGTGTGTGGTACAGCTGAGTGTACTGCCAGCTGTGCAGTAGTACCTTCATCTCTGGTGTAGTCTTCTCCTGAATGGGGCTCGAACAGGTAATCTCCTGTTGCCAGCTCAAACGCCTGAAACACCAAAATCAATGATTCATTTAGTCATGTGACCACTGACTGAATCACACACCAATAACTTGTCAGGAAAACACAGATGAAGGACGCACGGGTGGCACTGTGTACATTCACTGCATAGATCAGTGCACGCAAGGTAATCAGAAGGTCTGCTGCCTGCACCTATAAGAATACCAAGTGAATTTAAATTTGCCTAAAGCAAAACGTCTCAGGACCGAGCTCGCA